GGTGGCACCTGCTGCAGCACGCGCGTCCCGTGCAGGCTCCTCGTCCATTGCGTCGGCTCTGGCTGCCGTTGGGCTGTCGCGCGCTCAGGCAAAACGTTTCAGCTCGGCGCAACGGGGGTCGAGGCGTGCCCCGCCCCCCGCCCCCGAGCTCGAAGCCTCAAGCACGGCAAGACCAAGCCCCGCGGCGATGTGCGCCCTGGCGGTGCTAGGCTTGCGTCCAGCGAAGGGCCCTCCGCGGCGTGCGGGAGCGGGCAGCTTGCGCGGCGACGGAGGCCGATTGCAGAGCCGAGGCAGGGCCGGCTGGACTGGCCGCTCCCCGCCGGCCAGCGACCAGCAGCACAGGCCCCGGTCGGAGCGGGCAGCAATGTCTGGCATCACGGGCCTTGTGGTTACGCATGCGGGTCTGGCGCCCCCCGGGTACACGAGGACGGCCGTGGTGGCGGCAGGAGGCTCGGAATCCACGGCGACCGTCTGGACGACCAAGCTGCCGGGCAAGGACGGCAGCCTCGAGCCCCTCGTGCAAATCGACGTGATCATCGGCGACCCGGCGGCTGCGCCTGCGGGGTTCAGCGTTGCTGACATCAGTGTCACGCGCGAGCCTGCCGCGCCGGCCTTCCTTGCCTTTCGCCGCCGCGGCACCGCCGAAGAAAAAGCGCCCATTACGGACCTTGCGCTCGATACTCCGGACACGCCCGCGCGTGAGTTGCTCCCCCCCCGCGCGCTGCCGGCGGAGGAAAGCGCGCCGGAATGCCTATTGCGGAATGGAGGGCGGATGCGCGGCGTCTCACCCGGCGGCTGCGGGCGCGGGTCTGCCTCGGTCTGCATGGCGGCCGCGCGGAAAAAGCAAAAAATGCCTCGGCGGTGGCGCCGCCAGCAGGCGCCCGCCTGAGGGGCCTAGCGGTCCCCGCGCCCCCCGCCTGCGCAAGACCTCGCAATTCGAGGCCTTGCCGTCCTGGAAGCCGCCGCTGCTCTCCCGCCGCGGCCGCCCGCGGCGCGGAAAGGCTTTGGTGTCATTCCAGCACTCTCGGGCAGAGCTGCGATCTTGCGCTTGCAAGCTTCGCCCTTGCGCTCTCTCTCCCTCCAACCGCTTGCGTTTGGCTCCTTGGTCGCCGTGCCCCTCGTTCGATCGACCGCAGCCGAGGGCTATGCCGTCCTGGAGCCGCCCCTGATTTCGGGTGACGCGCGGATTTCCCTGGCCGTCAGATTCCAGCAGCCAGGTGAGCCACGAGCTATGGGCTGCACGGCCCGGCCCGCGCGCTTGCCCTCGCCCACGGCCCAAGACGAGCGCGTGTCGCCCATAACGCGTGTCATACCGTGCTTGCCGCACCCCGCCGCGACGCCGCAGGCGACAAGCCCGATTGGTTTGGGGAGTCTGTCGCCGTCGGCGACAAGGTTGACGCCCAGAACCGCAACGGCGTGTGGTGGAAGGGTGAAGTCGTGGAGGTCACGCGGCACGACGTCGTGGTGCACTTCGACGGCTGGGACAAGCTTCACGACACCTTCGTGCCAAAGCGCTCCGACATGATCGCCCCGTATGACACCGAGACGGAGGGCGTCGACACCCGCGGCACCATCACGGCCGACGCGGAGTTTGAGGTGTCTGAGGAGTCCCTTCGCCCCTACGTCGAGAAGATCGACTCCATCATCTCTCGCGAGGCCTCTCCAGCCGAGAGCGTGAGCCAGTCTTCCCGCGCCCCGCGTGTCCCAGTCGCATCGCTTCTCGCAGCCGTGCTCGCCACACGCTCGTCGTTGCTGAGCCTGCGCCACCGTCTAGTTGCTTAGCGTCCACCCAGTCGCCCCTTCGCTCCCTGCCCCTCGCCGCACAAACCGTTCTCCCGCCCCTCCGGAATATTCGCAGGAGCTGTTCATCCGCCGAGACTTGAGCGACTGCGTGGCCCAGGTGCTCTCCCTGAAGCTTCCTGAAGAGGTGCATCCGGCCGTGAACAGCTTTGTGCGCGCCGTGATCCGCCTCTGCTGCTTCTACCTAGCGACTCACCCGTTGGAAGAGAAGCTGCCGTCCGCCATTATGGTGCAGCTCAACCGGGTGTTCCTCGGCGACGACCGCTGCAACACCTTCTTCACGGACACCTGCCACGCAATGCGCGGCGACGTGGCAGACGCAGCCAAGTATGCCGGCTTTGCGGCCAAGCTGCCTCCCGGAGGAGCCTCGGTCATGTTTACGGAGAACCTCAACCACTTTTTCGCCTTCGGCGGCCACGAGCTGTTGATCCGGCGCATCGACGACGAGCGTGACCCCCTGCCCCTGGAAGAGCTCGCAGTGGTGCTTCAGGCATGCATCTACACCCCGTGGCGACTCTACAACAACGGCTGGGTGAAGCACGTGTGGCCTCGCATCGTCACCGCAGTGACCAACCGCCTCCAGCGCATGGACGAGGCGGAGCTGCGCAAGCACGACAAGGAGTCACTCCTGGCCAGGGGCGGTATCGCCCAGCTCCTTTCTTCGACCCACCGTGGGCTGCTCAAGCCCCAGATCGAAGCGCGGGGAGCACCCATCGCGAACCTTCCCGAGGCCCACCCGGACCCGCTCCCGGTCGCCCTGCCAGGCGTTCTGGAGCGCACGTGGGCCGGGCTGGCTGCCAGGCAGCTGCGCGTCCCCTCGCTGCCCATCCGGCTCAAGGGCCTCACGTACGCCCGCGAGCTCGTGCGCCTCGTGAGCTCCGCTGAAGGAGCAGGCGCGGCAGACGACCTGGACGACGACGACGACGGCTTTGGGCAAGGTGGGAGCAGCTCCTTCAGCTACCTCGGCGGAGGCGTGGGCGGCTACGGCGGCGGCTACGGCAGCGGCTACGGCGGCAGCTACGGCGGCAGCTACGGCCGCATTGGCGGTCGCTCCGGCTACGGCAGCAACTACGGTTACGGCGGGCGGGGCCAGAGCACGTATGGCGCCCCTAAGCCGCAGTTCTTCACAGGGCCGACGCTTGCGGAGTTCTTCGACAAGGCGAACGTGGTGCAGGCGGTGCTCGGGCAGGTGGACGAGAACCAGGACGCTGATCTGCACGCCATCTTGGAGCGTGCAACGCCCGACTCCGACGTCGTGCCGCTTTCCAGCCTTGCCCCGTGCGCTACCGCTGAGTGGGAGGCGGACATGATCAAGGGGGTGCTGCCGTTTTCCGAGGAGGACGAGGAGCTGGCCCGCGACCGCGTCAAGGCGCTGCTTGCTCACTCTGGTGTCTCCCCCGCAAAGGACGGCGGCGCCGAACCCCAGGCCGGGCCGACCGCTGCCGCATCTGGAGCAGCAGCTGCTGCTGCCGCGAGCAGTGCAGCAGGGGCGGCTGCAGCCTCGGCCGCCGGCCCTTCGGCAACCGCCGATGATGCTGGCGCCTCGCACACCGGAGGCCGCCGCACCAAGAAGCGCGCTGGCAAGCTGGGCCCCCACGAGAAGCTGGTGGCTCCTTTGGCCGTGATCATGCTGTTCATGGCCAAGCACGGCGCGCTGCGCCGCAAGCACCTCGACGCGCTCTGGGCTGCCAACCCTGGCCCGAAGGACGAGTCCCTCCGCCGCGCCATCTTTGCGGCAGTTGGCCAGCTCTCGGCCCACTTGGAGGAGGAGATGCTCGGGGCGCTGTACGAGCGCATCACCGCCACGCCCCTCGATCAGCTCGACGACTCCACGATGGACCTTGTCAAGTCCCTCAGCACCGCCGTCCTTGGCTCGCACGACACCGCTGCCGCTGAGGCCGCCTCCACCGCGGCCGAGCGCGCTGCCGAGACGGACAAGCTGGAAGCCGCTGTGCACGGCGTCGCCCTTTACTGGCGCATCATCACCGCGTCGCCCGCCGCCGCCGTGCCCGCTGAGATCGTCGCAATGGCAATGGACAACCTTGTGGAGCTCTGCGCTGGCGAAGGCGCCCTCTCCCGGCTCCTGCTGCGTCGCAACCTGCAGCGCTGCATTTCTCACATTGCCGAGGGCAAGTCCACGGCTCATGCCGCCGAGCTTGCTCGGCGCATCCTGGAGAAGGTGCCGGTCACTGCCGGGGGCGACGAGCCATTTGAGTTTGGCGAGAACGCGGCCGCCGACGCCGGAGCAGAGCTCGCTGCTGCTGCCGCCGCCGATGCAGACGCGGATGCAGGTGCAGATGCAGATGCAGACACAGATGCGGACGAGAACGCCAAGGCTGATGCTCCCAAGGCGCCGGAGTGGACTCGCTCGCGCGTGATTCAGTTGCTGCAGGAAGACGACGACGTCATTGGGCTGCTGCTCGCATCGCTGGAGAAGCTTCGCCTGGCCGCGGCCGAGAGCCTGGCAGCGGCCGGGATGTGCCCGGCCCACGAGGACGACGACGCAGCTGACCGCGAGGCAGAGGCCAGCATCAAGGCCGGGTCTGAGCCCTTTGCCGAGGGCGTTGCTCAGCGCCTTGCGTTCCTTGGCTTCCTCATCAATCAGAGCTCAGCCACGCGGCTCTCCACCGCGCAGTTCACGTTCCTGTGGAAGTCCTTCGTGGAGGCCAACGTCACCAGGCAGAGCCGCTCGCAGTTCTTCTCGTGGCTGACTGAGGCACAGTTTGGAACCACGGCCGGCAGCGGACTCATGAGCGATGCGGAGCTGCGCTCCGTGTTCGAGACCAAGTTCTGCAACGTCGAGTCCATGCGCTTTGCAGCGATGCGCGAGAGCGACATGGGATGCATGCTCCGCTGCTTCCTCAAGGTCAACCTCGACAGCGGCAAGCTTGCGGGTGCGATGAGCGCCATCGACTCGATGCGCTCCAAGGTCCTGGACTTGGACGGCATGGACGCGCTGTGGCACGTTGCCACCGCAGCCTCGCACGAGCCCACCTGGCGCAGCGCCTCGGACATCATCGTTGGCTGCTTCATGAAGCTCCATCCTGTGGATGGGCCCTCTCCCGACGATGCGCGGAGCGCCTTCCTGGCGGAGATCAAGGAGCGGATCCGGAGCCCGGTCAAGCAGCTCGAGTGAGAAGCAACATCATTGCCCGCAGACATCTGTATTGGCAATTTTCGCTCGAGCAGGCACGCTTTTTGCAGGGGTGATCCTAGATGGTTCTGGGGGCGGGCTTCAAACCCGTGGGTGCAGCAATGCACAGGAGTTCAATTCTCCCTCACCTGCGCCCCAAGTTCTTTTTTTTTTTTTCTTCAAATGCTTCGCCTTTGTTTGTCGTGCTTGTTGTCGTGCTCGCTGCTCTCGGCTCGCACGCGCTGCGGCCCCTCTGTGCTCGTTGTGGCGGCTTGGTCACCACCACGAGGGTCTCCGTGTGAGCTCCCATTTCTGTTGTCGCCACTCTCTTGCGTCCACGAGCGTTCCTCGCAGGCTCGGCGATGCGACAGCAAACCAGGCGTTGCGCAGGCTGCTCGAGACTCTGCGCGCTTTCCTGACGGCGCTGGACGAGAGCGGGCGCACGGCTGGCGACGCCGACATGCTGCTCGTGCCGACCGAGGTGCATGACCCCAACGACCCGCTGCAGTCGCGAGGCCGCGTGGTGCGTCGCCTCTACCTGCAGCTGTCTCGCTCTTCGAGCACCCTGCACGAGATGCGCGAGCGCCTCGCCTCCGCGCTTGGCCACGTCGCGTCCTACCTCCGTGTGGAGAACTTCCAGCACCGCTACTTCGAGTCGGTCACCAGCGAGTACTGCAATGCCCATGCGTTCAGCTGCGCCAACGGCGTTCACGCTCTTCCCCACGACCTCGGAGACAAGACCACTGCTGCCCACAAGGACCGCCCCGACATGTATCCCCGTGCGTCGTTCCTTGACGACCCCGCCGCTGCGGAGCGGGTTCGCCCCATGGCACGCCTGACCCACGACCCCAAGCTCTTCGATGCACTCCTCTCCGTCGTGCGCGCGGGCGACGACGATACCGCGGACGTGGCGTGGGACCTCATCAGCTCGGTGCCCACCAACGTGGACGTGAAGCGCGCGGTGCGCTCCCTCGGCGGCGCCATCGAGCCGCGCGTGGAGATCCCAGGAGAGATTCTCACCGATAGCGAGGAAGCCGAGGTGCTCGGACGCACGTCGGGGGTCGTTGAGGCTGCCAACGAGGCCAACGCTGACGCCGCAGGCGATGGTGCTGCAGCTGCAGCAGCGGCTGCCCCCGTCGCCCCGGCAGCCGTCGCGGCCGAGGGGTCCGTGGATTGGGCAAGCGTGCTCCCCGACGAGTCGCCGGAGTCGATGCTCTACAGCATTCGGCTGGTCCGCGCTCTGGCTCTGGCCAAGCGCGGCAACTGCGCCGTGCCTCGCACGCCGCCCCAGCTCGCCCGCGGCACGGTGGCCGCCGAGTTTAAGCACGAGATCTCGCATGTGGGCCTGCCGCCTGCCGAGCTCGAGGCGGAGAGCCGGCGTGAAGCCGCTCGCGCCCTTTGGGTGTCCACGTTCGTGGCGCAGGGCGGCCTCGGCCGGCTCATGGAGATCCTCACCAGCAGCGGCGGAGGCGGCGGAAAGGCCATGGGCAGCCGCCTCGGCCGCCAGGCAATGGAGTCCCTCCTCCGCATGGTCCTCTTCGTGACCACCAAGGTGGACGAGTCCGGCAGGGAGCTCGGGGTGCGCCCCATCGTGCCAGAGATGCCCGTGGCCGCCTACCCCGCGTGGGTGCTCGAGCAGCTCGCGGCTGCCAAGGAGGCAGCTGCCTCAGGTGACAAGCACGCCGCGTCAGTCGCTCGCCTGCTGGCGCGTGTGGCTCGTAGCGTCAAGGCCGACACCATCGACGAGTCGGAGCTGGATTCTCAGGCGCCAGAGACCACCGAGTCTGCTGCTGGTGCCGACGAGGACGACGAGGACACCGCCGGCGCGCAGGCCATCAAGGCCTCCGACGTCGAGGCAGGCCTCCAGTTCGAGCTGCACGGCGTGGAGGTGGACGACGAGACGCTCGTCTCCCGACTGCTCCTCATCGTCAGCGAGGCCTCTGCGGCAGCCGACGTGGAGAAGGCCCGCCGTGACGCAGCCAAGGCCGCCCAGGCCGAGGAGGAGGAGGAGGACACGCAGGACACGCTCATCAACATCATGCAGCCCTCCAAGAACGCCACGCAGAAGCTGCCGGACCCCGAGGACCCCAGCCTGCACAAGTTCGAGGACGTGACGGTGGAGTCCCACATCACCCTGCATGCCCTCGAGCTACTTGTGCGCACCTGCATCGCCAGGCCTGCCGCGCTCTCCTTCCTCTACGCCAACAAGTCAGCCGTGGACAGCGTCCTCCGCCCCCTCATCGCCGCCGAGGAGCTCCAGATCCGCGACGTGGCCAAGAGCAACCTCCTCATCCTCGCGCGGGTCTTCCTCGGCAACCCGGCCCTTCTCCCCGAGGGCGTCGAGCAGCCCCGCGACTGGCTCCTGCGCAGCTTCTTCTCCCGCATCGGCGAGGGGTACCTGCATCCTCGCAACTGCTCGGAGTTCTACTCCCTCATTGCTGCGCTCATCACGCTGGTGCCGCCCGGCGCGACCGCGCCGCCCCCGCTCCCCGTGGACGGCGAGGCCGTGGCGGCCGATCTGGCTGCAGCGCTCAAGGCGCATCCGGTGGTGGAGGCCGCGCCCACGGACTCGGACGTGGTGCTTCGCGGCACCCTGCGCGTGATTCGCGCCCTCAGCACCAGCTCGCAGGCCCTCAGCCGCCGCCTTGGCACATCGGTGCCGGACGGCGGCCTGGGCGTGGTGGACGAGGTGTTCGAGCAGTGCCTCTTCTTCAAGCCTCCCCCCGACGCCCCCCCTGACGTGGTTCTCCCGCCCAAGTGCCGCTCGCTGCGCTCTCGCCGCGCCGCCTTCGCCGCTCTGCTTGGCCTTGCCTCTGGCAACACGGACAACGCCAGCTCGCTTCTGCGCTGCATTCTGCTCAGCGCCAAGGAGGCCGAGCAGGACGCCAAGGCAGGCACCGGTCCCGCAAGCAGTGCAGCCAGTGCTGCGGCGGCAGGCGCGGCCGGGGCCGTGGCGGACGCCTCGCGGCCGGACCTGTCGGACGTGCTGCTCTTCCCCGCTGGCGGCCCGTCGAGCGCGGCAAACTCTGATGCGGGCACCCGTGGCCGCCGCCGCAAGTTCGAGATGCTCTACGACGTGAAGAGCGCCACCGGCTACGCCGGCCTGGTCAACCTGGGCTGCATCTGCTACATGAACGCCTCCAACCAGCAGCTCTTCATGATCCCCGAGCTCCGCCGAGGCCTGCTCGAGTACTCCGTCACGGCGCGCAAGCCCGAGGACTCGGTCACCCACCAGGTCCAGCGCATGCTCGCCAACCTCCAGGAGACGCAGCGCCGCGCCTACAACCCCCGCGGCCTCTGCATGGCCCTCCGGGACTGGGACGGCAACCCCATCAACGTCATGGAGCAGCGCGACGCCTCCGAGTACCTCACGCAGCTCTTCGACAAGCTCGAGACGGAGATGGCGGGCTCCAAGCAGGCCAGCATCATCAAGGACGTGCTGGGAGGCGAAACCGCCAGCGAGTTCATCGCGGACGGCGCCAGGATGTACCGCGCCCGGACCACTCCCTTCTACTATCTCTCGGCAACGGTGCGCCACTACAAGTCGCTCGAGGAGTCGCTCCGCCGCGAGTTCGGCGCCGGCGACATGATGGAGGGATACCGTTGGGAGGATGACAAGACGGAGGCCGACCTGGGCCGCTTCGATACCATCCGCCGCACCTCCCTGCGCAAGGGGCCGAAGCACCTCATCGTGCATTTCAAGCGCCTGGACATTGACGTCGAGCGCGGCATCCCCGTCAAGCTCAACTCCCGCTTCGAGTTCCCGCACCGCCTCAACCTGTGGCCGTACACCGTGCAGGGCCGCGCGGACGCGGTGAAGGGGCGCGAGGGCTCCCGCCGCGTCGTTGACCCGGAGGACCCCGCAACCCACGTGGCGCCCGGCAGCGAGGACGACTGCAACGACTACGCCACCGACGAGGGGCCGGAGGACTTCGAGTACCAGCTGGTGGGCATGGTGATCCACACCGGCACGGCCACGTCCGGCCACTACTTCAGCTACGTGCAGGAGCGCGGGGCGGACGGCCCCACCGGGCGCTGGTTCGAGTTCAACGACCAGCACGTGGCGTCGTGGAACCCCGACCGCATGGAGGCGGACTGCTTCGGCGGCGAAGAGGAGTACACAGGCAACGGCTACTACGACTACAAGCGCGAGGGGACCTCGTTCAAGCGCACGTGGGTGCCCGGCCGCACCTACAAGCGCTCGCGCTACAACAACGCCTTCCTCGCAGTCTACGACAAGGTGCCACGCGACAAGGCGGCGGCCGCCGCGCCCGCCGTGGCGGAGGCAGGAGCAACCGCGGCCGCGTCCCGGTCCCCCGCCAAGCTGGCCCGCTCCTCCTCCCGAGTGGAGCAGGACCTCGAGACGGAAGTGGCCGCCTCGCTAGCAGCCTCTGCCTCCTCCACAGCCTCGGCGGCGGAGCTGGCCGCCGCATACGCCGCTCGCGTGACGTCCACGCAGTCGTCGAAGCGGTCGGCGCAGTCTGCTGCTCGCGTGCCGGTGCCCGAGCAGTTCCTCTCCGAGATCAAGGGCGCCGACCTCGCCCTCTGGCGCCAGCGCACCGCCGAGTCGCCCGACTACTTCAAGTTCATCCGGCGCCTTCTCGACGAGCTCACCAGCGCGTCGGCGGCGCCCCCAGCTGCCGCCGACTCTGCCGCCGACTCGGGCGCGGCTGCACCGGCCGCTCCCGCCTCCGCCTTGGCCACCCAGCTCGTGGACGCCGCCGAGGAGCTGGAGCGCGAAGAGGAGGACGAGGACGCTGTGGTGGACGCGGTGGTCGAGAACCCCGACTCGGACTCGGTGGCCATCAAGCCTGGCCCCGTCATCCCGCCGCCCGGCCCCCTTGCCGAGCCGCTCGCCGAGCCCACTGTTGGGTACCCCACCACCGCCATCACCAGCACCGCCGCAGCGGCCAAGCTCGGCGGAGCCGACGTCATTGTGGCTCAGCTCGCCATTCGCTTCACCGCCATCTCTCTCAACGCCTCGGACGGGACCGTGCGTGCGGACGCTCTCAAGTGGGTCACCAAGCTCACCGGCATCCTGCGCCGCAACGTGGTTGCCTGCGTCTGGCTCCTCAACGCCCTCAGCAGCGCCCGCTCCAACCTCTCCGCCGCCCTTCTCGGGCACTCCGACTCGAAGCTGCGCGAAGGCTTCGC